TAAAAATACTGAAAGAAGAAAACACATCAGCCTAGACTTTTATGATCAGTGAAATTATCCTTCAAAAATAAAGGATTAATGTCTTAGTTAAACAAAAACTGGGACCAGCATATGGCATAACGGTTACATCGCTAGACTGCCACACAGTCAACTGTGGTTTAAGTCTCGGATTCAGAGGCTTTAAACTCATGCATGTGTGTCCAAAATCCTGAGAGAAGAAGGAATTGCAGCATGACCATCCCCCTGTGTGATGATTTCTTGCTTTCTGTCTCTCTGTCGAGCACACACACCCTATAGCAAAAACTTCTCTACAAATAAATAAATAAATAAATAAATAAATAAATAAATAATAACTGAGGATAGTCATTGCCAGTAGACCTGCCCTGCATGAAATGCTGGAAAGTTCTTGAGGTCAGCAGGTGGTGTAGTGGTTAAGGTGTTGTACCCCCACATGCCCGAGCTCAGTTAGAGTTGCAGACCTGGCAGCTTTAAACTCAAGCCAGATGTATGTGTGTGCATACCCAAAATCTCACAAGGAGAATGGATTATGGTGTGGCATGCCCCCTGGGAGCTGATTTCTCATTTTCTCTCTCTGTCTCCCTCTTTGGGTGAGCACATGTGCCATATAGCAAAAATATCTCTAACAACAACAAAAAGTTATTCAAAGAGAAAGTACAATAATATAAGTCAGAAATTTATATCTACATAAAGAAAGGTAAAAACTTGGAGAAGAAATTAATGAACACATGCTTGCTAGTCCTCATCCTTCTATCATTCTTGCCCACCTTAGTGTGGTAACAACCATTCTCACATATGTTGCCCAGGTATGGTTTGACCAAACCAGGAAGAAAGAACTTTCTTGCTCTGAAACCACTTTCTATTAATGTAACTGCTAAAATCATGTGAAGATCTCACCTTAAAATTTTGTATTTTTAAATACATAATTCTATTTCCTGTTCTTATAAGTGAATTCTAGCTCTGTAGAATGTGAACAATATACCATCATAATTCTCATTAGGGTCCTTTAGAAAAAACAAATACACATAGTCACAAATCTAAACTAAAATTTTTGCTAATCATATATATTCTCATTAAAAAATAGTTAATCAATAAAGACTATATATAGGCAAAAGGAGCAGATCCTTCTTTACCATACACACTCCATCTTCTTCAGGGCTAATCAATTAATAGTTGGTGTGGACACAGTCCACATTTAGTTACTATGTACACACACACACACACACACACACACACACACACTCACAAAGCACATTGAGGAAAAAAGGGATCATAGATTTTATTCTACAGTTTGCATTTTCAGTTAACTTTGTTTTTGGAGTTACTTCTACTTCCATAGATATGAAATTACTTCACTCTTTTTTATATCACAGTATGGTAGAACAGTACTTTATAAAATAAATGCACTACTCTTAGTTTAATCTTTTCTCTGTAGATGACCATTTAGATGATTTACAATTAGTTGCTGCCAGAAACGCTGCATTTAATGCGTGCCCTTGTAGATATATATTTAAAGTCTTGTACTTGAGAAAGGAAATTTACATCAAAATCTGTAGGCCAATGTTCTTTGCAATTAAGACACTGCATTAAAGTTGTAATACTATTAAACTTAAATAAAAGGACAAAAACAACAAGAACAAGCATGTGTTAAGAATAATATAATGTAAAATTATTAATTAAAAAGCCAGGTGACGAACAAAACTTTCACTCATGTTTCAATATGACTAGTGTCATCTAAGACACATTAATTGGTGTGTCAGATTGAGAAACTCCTAAAAAGAATACAAATAACCATGTAAAATATAGTTTTTCTTTTTTTGTTGTTTTTTTTTGTTTTGTCTCCCACCCCACCCCCACCACCCCCGGCTTCTTTGTGCCCTGTATTTGAAAACGATGAGGTACTGGTAACATTTTGTTGTTTTTGTTTGGTTTCTTTAGAAAGAATTTTTTGCTATAGGGCACATGTGCTCACTGGAGAGACAGAGATAGAAAGCAAGAAATCACCCCACAGGGGGGATGGCAATGCTGAAATCCCTCCTCCTCCATTCTCCTCTTGGGATTTTGGGCATGCACACATGCACCTGGCATGAGTTTAAGCCCCCAGGTCAAGGACTTGAACCTCCATGGACTACTTGGGAATCCAGCGATAAACACCATCTGCTGATCCCACATTTCTAATTTGTATGTACTTCAGGCATTGGTTCACAGCCTTTGTATTCCTCTCCTTTCTTTCATTCATTGAAAAGCCCTGCAGAGAGTGACTCCTGTGTAGCAGACTCTGTCTGGGCTGAACCCTGGGGTCACAGGCAACAAAGATAAAAATACATTGGCATATTAGCATTGATCTACAAGGAACAGAAGATCTCAAAGGATTGTCATGACTCAGTGGCCTCTCAACTTCTTCAACCACTGACTGACTACTTTGCCTACTGTGTGCTGAGGAGACAGCAGTGAGACCAAAAGGGAGCCCTTCCTTCATGGAACTTTCAAGCTAATGCAAATTCCCCAACCCATGGAAGAGAATAAAAAATGTATATATTCAGTGGAAAGGAGTATATTCATTCATAGAAAGGATGTAGGGCTGAGAGAAAGGAGGCACTGAGAAGAGCAGCTACGCTCTGCCTTAAGGAACTTAATAGGTAGTCTCCCTTCCTGACTGAACAGTGGAAGAAGAGCCTGGACCAGCTCTACCTAGTGCCAGACACTTGGCTTTGAGGCAGCAGAAGAGGATTCCATGACACCCCGCAGGTCCTGACAGGGAAAGGCCCTCTGTCAGACAACCTTTAGGACATGGCAATGACAGAGTTACCATTTGGAATGAGCAAGCAGTGGAGCAGAAAGAACGGCTCTTGGAGCTGACCAGCGATTTCTTTCCTAGGGTTAGAAGTCTAGGTCTGTCTTCTTTCAGAAGGGCAGAGGCGAGGTCCTTATAGGAGCCCCCAGCCCAGGTCCCCTAAGAGCTCAGGTCTTTCCTGCCCGGCCTAGCTCCATGAACACTGGAAGAGAACATGGCAGGACCACCCTAGAGCCCAGGGAAGGATGGCCTGAAGTCGCTTCCCGCCTTCCTACCTGCAGCCCTGACAATCCCACTCCCCTTATCATTAAGGAAAGACACCAAGCAGGAGAGAGGAGGAGTGGGGACAGGTACTCAACAGTGTGGGTACAGACACACCAGGGGCGGGCTGGTATCCATCCGCGGCTCCCTCCAGTGCAATTGTTCCCGACCTCCCGATCCTGCCCCGGGGTTGGGGTCCCATATAGTGTAGCTGCTCCAGAACCGTGGTGGTGGTCGTTTGGTCAGGGTCAGCGCGGCCCTGCCAAGGCGGCTGGAGCTCAGAGGCCCCCCAAGCTGGAGCTGGTGCTGGCCCCGCCCACCTCGGGGTCCGGAACTGCGGTGGGCCTGGGAGGGGGCGTCGAGCCCATTCGTGCGGTATCCCTCCGCCCCCTTCCCGACACCCTCGAGGCCAGTGGATTTTGCCGCATCCTGCGCAATCCCTGCCCAGTTTGGCGCAGAGGCGTGGGGAGCTGGACGCCTCTTTGCAGATTCTGATCAGACAGAAGGCGGGG